CACGAGTGGACTGAGCCATGTCCGTAGTTGTGGACTACCTGGTTGGGGTCCGTGAGATGATAAACATCGATGGTTAGAGACCCTGTATGACATGGCTCAAAACCGTTTGCAATGGCGCCGGTGCATTCATTTTTCTCGTTCTCTCAAATCCTAATCTCCTGGATTCTTCAACACCTCTAGTTTTGTCTTTATATGCTTATCTCACTGAATCATAATTCTTGAATAATATCTTGTAATCCTAACCTATCCGATTACTTCTAATACCTTTACTACATCTACTACTATGGGATTTGAATTGACAATTACATCTTTATGCTAATGTGGTATGGAAACATGAACTGATGTACTTACGTACTAAGTTCTACGTTGCATATGACTGACTGACTGACTGAATCTTATCTGGCTAAGAAAATGTAGTGTTATTGATCTGCAGCGCATCAAATCAATAATCGTATTACCTGCATAGCTGATAGTTAGACTTAGAATCAGGGAATCCAACTTCCCGTTTTTTTATCAACTCTAAATGGCATTTTATCGACTTTTAGCAATCTTCATTAGATAAGTTGTGAACTAGAGTGTGACTCGCGAACAGTGATCTACAAATAGAGTGACTTAATAAAAATTCTGCTTATATGAGGATGCAGAACGAAATACTCAACTCGAACTCTGTTGCAAGCCTCCTATATTGATGCTGATCTCATTCCTTTGACTGGACACACCCTATACGAAGGTGCTCAGAAACGCATCCACACCAGATCATCGAGTACGTCATAATACGCATTTTCTCACATCAGTGAACAAACTTAGTTCACTCGATCCTCGACATCCGTATTATCTGTCAAATATTCCTTCGATCTCCTTCATTTGTGACACCTGTTTGACTGAGTTTTGGGTATTCTAAATCTGAAGAACGTTAAAAGCAAAAGCTTTGTCAAACCATGAATATCCATGACACTTTCGACATTGTAAGTAGGCTTCTCTTATAATGTATCTGTGGCATTCTGATTTAGCGATGAGAGTTTGCCCATCACCACCCATTAATATTTGAAGACTAAATGTTGATTAAGTTTTATACCTTCACTTTCCATAGGTCCTTGTTTGTTACTGGAAATTGAAAGCTTTGTGTTTCGATTAATACTTCAAGCTATGTTTGTTCCATGCCTGCGTGGATATATTTCATTGTTTCAATGTATTAAGCAGTAAAAACAACCTAATTGATATAATACTTTATGTTTATAGTTGATTCTATCTTTACTTCTAGGATAAGACCACCGAAAAATTTATTGCATTCAGCATACTTGTGGGAACCTTCGCCGCTGAAAGTAACACATTTAGACATTAGCAAACGTTAAGCGTCTCCTGATACATTCTAAGAAACTGTTGAAATAAAAAATTAAAAGTAGTCTTCATACATAACTTCGCAGTTCCACATGATGACGATGATCGTCTCAGCTGCACCACAGCACCGAGAATTTTCATTAAGACTAACAGTTCACAGTGCCTAATGCCTACTTATAGTTTAGGAAGTTGATGTATAGTGATGAGTTTCATTCGGTTGGTGTAGAATCCATTGTGAAGGCTTTGTTTTGGGAAAATCCCTCCATGTAAATTTTTTGTTGAGGATGTTAGATCCCCAATATTCGCTTGATAATACCGTATTTCGGTTTTCACGTTTTGCCAGCATGGGCTGATCAGATGACCTTGAGATTTCAATTCCCACCAGGAAAATCCATGGCTGTGATTGGCTGCTGTGTATTTTAGTGTGCTATTTTCTTAACTGTCTGAAGGACGTTTCTATGTTGTATAAATAACCGAGAGTTGTATGCTTGATTGTACTGTGATTGCTGGGTGTTTGTAGAATATACTTTCTACGCTTACAAAGCCTTTTATTTCGACTTTGAGTATTCAAGGTAGCCTACCTGGACGCTAGTAAAAGTCTCGTTTGTGTTTATCGACTAAGGTAAACTCGTAATGGCCTCAAGCATACTAAGTGACGAACTTGTCATATTTGTAATATGTTCCTACTGACACTTTCTGTTCAATATTTTGATACTCTGTTTGATGCCATTTTGTGATTTTAATATTTGCATTTTGTTATAGTTTCTATTTTTTACCTTTATTGGAGTTTCTAGGTTTCCTACTGAACTGTATTAGGTTGTTTAAGTGGATACTTAATTATGGCTACAGCCATATCGGTTTTGATACCTTGGCGGGTGAAGCGTGCATCTGAACTGGAAGGGTGCAATTTTGGAACTATATGGAATCATTCTTCCAGAACTGGAAACACATTATGTTATTTTGAACGGGAAGCAGTGCAATATTGTTTAGGCAATTATCTGTATTTCATTTTTGATTAGTAATAGAACCGTTTCCTACCCAGATAAGTTGCTTTCTCTCTAGATTGACTGGACTGACTTCTATAACTGTTTTTCCGAAATCAGAATCCACTCTGAGTTCAGTTGATGATTCGTGATGCAATAATTAAGTAGTCGATTTGATTTGATCTTGACTGTAAACTGGCATGCGTCGAGTAACACATTTTTATATAAGAATAAAAATTATCATTATTATTATGTTCACATTTACCTCTCCTCCTGAAGCCAGTGCATCTGGTGGTATTATGTCCGGTTCTACCGTTTCACCATTCTTGATTAGCCATATTTATGCGTCAGTGTCCTAGATTTTTGCCGTAGTGTAATTTTAGTAAGGCACATTTGTGTTGAATTTGAAGTAGTACTAACCATTTTGACGAATGATCGAGCGTGTTATTTAGTAAATCTTGCCCTCCACTGCTGCATATCATACTTAGACAAAACCCGTTTGTGCCACTGTGTTAATAAGAAACCAAATACGGTTTAGAGGGTGGAGTTATTTCTTGCGTTCATTCAAGGAGGCAGCTATGAGGATGGAAAGCATACATGCAAAGCGAAGCGAATTGGAGAAGGCGAGTGAGCCCTACCTTTACTTCACTAGGGTGAATCACACACTCATGAGAGAGAACCTTCTACATTCATCCAGAATGCTTCCTAGACAGTGTACCTCAGTCACACCACACACTCTGAAAAAGAACATGAATTAGGCTCGGCAGTGAACGCTTGCTACAGGAGAAAAGGAGACCCTGGCACAAACAGGTCTTTTTGAAGGTTTCTTAGCCGTAGTTCTTATTTGACACTTAGAAACAAATACTATGACAAAGTTCGAAGTGATAGGAGACGCTTTCAGATGAAGCTGGCTGTCCGAATAGTGTCAAACCCTGGGTATCTGTTTAGGTACATAACTTAATGAAAACCTGAGAATCAGTGTTTGTGTCCCCTCAGTGGTCCGAATAGAAAAGATCTCACCAGTCTAGAGATTTTCAACACCAAATTCACAGAATAGTTAAATCATGTATCCAGTACTACTCAATCCTAGTGTCAAATGACGGCTTAGATAAGGGAATCAAAATCCTTACGCCCACGAAAATTACTGAGTTGTGACAATGTTCCCCTCATAGTCTTTAAAAAGTGTGCAGAAGCCCTCAGTTCGCCAATATGTGGCCTATTCAGGCATTAAATAGCGTCACACCAACTCCCAGGTAAATTGAAACAAGCTACTCTCTCCAGTCTTCAAGGAAGGAGATAGGAAGGACTCAGCCTGTTACAAACAAGTCACATTACTATCAATACTATCAAGGGTAATGGAAGGGCTGGTAAACGAACAAATGAGGGAGTACATGGATAAGAATAAAATACTCCATGAAGCTAAAAACGGGCTTCGGAAAGGCAGGTCGTGTGCATCTAATCTTCTTATAGCATGGGACAATTGTATATCTAGCTGGGACTGAAAAATACTGGTGCACGCCGAAGCACGCCTAGTTGCGAATGTTGAGGAAACGGACTTCACTGAACCATTCCTTTCATTAACGACTTGTTAGGCAAAGTTAGCTCGACGGCATTGGTCTAAGCAGACGATGTAAAGATCTGGAGGTTTATTAGAAGCGAAGAGGATTCGGCTGAGATTCAAAAGGACTTTACATGTATTGAGTAATGGGCAGTAAAAAACGGGCTAAAACTGAACCACAAAATATTTCACGTCATGTACATTCTGCCACAAATAACGCAAACGATATACACCCTCAATGGAATTCCGCTCCCTAATGTATCCTCAGAGTGCGATCTCGGTTTAATGACCAATGGAATCTTCTACCCCTCTCCTTAAAAGAGGCATAAATCTCCTTTATCGAGTGCAGAGACCAGCAACCAAATGGGAGACAGGGTCGAAGAATAAACCTTAAGAAAATAGACTCCAGCATTTGGGATTATTCCCACTAAATTACTGTAGAATCAGAAATGATCTGATTATGGCGTACAACATATTGGGCACTCCAAACCATCCCAACGTGAGCACCCTACTGATGCATCACCACCACTCCCCCTGCGGAAATCCTCGAAAAATTGCTCGTCAAAGATACAACACTCAGGTCCGTGCACACATTTTCTCGTTAGGAGTCGTTAAAACTTGGAATGCTCTCCCAGCCAAGATGAGCGAAGTCTCCTCAGCGGACAGCTTTAAGAAGAAACTTGACAAAAAAGTACTCGCATACTGATTATCGTCTCCATGATGGACAGGCTGTGTCTGATGCATGTCTTGAGACCTACCAGTTGTTATTTTTGCCATCTCCTCAGATCACTAACCTAACATATCTTGCCTATTATCTCTGTTTCTTCTCCCTTGCTTACAAGTCAGTCTTCTCTCACAATCTCCACTAACAATTAATAAACTAAATTATCCATTTATTTACTTAATCCTGAGCTTTAGAATTTTCCCTTTATTTTTCTCCACACTGCAACTAAATGATCTCCGGTTTGGTAATATGATATCTATTAGTATCTAGAATCTCTACGGCCCTGAAACATGAGAAGATAGTAAGACTGGCTCTTGTTTCATTGTTCTCAAACTAAAAATCTTAATGCAATCAGGGATTACTTTTTCTGAACGAAATCTGTTAGTTTCAGTTTTTGTGAACATTGAGATTTGTACGTTTTTCTCAAGGTCAGCATTTCGTGGAAATTTTGATCGTACAACATGGTTTGTTAAATTTTTAGTCATATAACCTTACAATTAGACTCTAGGTGTGAACCCGCGGGCTTACCCGCTAGCGGGTCCGGAACTTACAAATAAAATAATCGAGCTAGTTAAACAGGCTAGTTCGTATAAACAACTGAAGAAGGGTGCCAACGAAGCGACCAAGGCTCTTAACAGAGGAAAAGCAGAGTTTATTGTGATGGCTGCTGACATAGATCCCTTGGAAATAGTTTTACACTTGCCTCTTCTTTGCGAAGATAAGAATGTCCCGTATGTGTTCATCCCTTCACAAATGGCTTTGGGTCGTGCTTGTGGAGTATCCAGATCAGTAGCGGCCGTCGCTGTTACAGATAGTGAGGGCTCACAACTTAAACCCCTTGTCATCTCTATTCAACAGAGCATTGAAAAACTGCTTATTTAACTAATAAATTTTCCATTTCAACACTGTACTTATAAAACACCAGGTTTCGGTTTTTGTCTCTGTAACGATGGTTATTGGAAATAATTCTAAGTTGAATGCATCATAGATATGCTGTGATATAGAGGACTCTCTTCAAAGCGCACGCAAACATCTAGGAAACAGTACCTACTTAGTGTTACTAAGAAGTTTATTAAGATTCGACTGTAATTTACCTACGTAACACTTTGTAACGATGCTGCGTTATTTGGATGGCAGTGGTTGCAGTAGGCCTGGCATCCCCTGTTAAATAACTTGTTCATTGTTGGCCGGACTACAACTGGTTTGGCTAACTGAATATTAGACTTATAAGATTGCATAAATGGTACTTAACAGTATCAAGTACGATGGGAGAACGTTTATGACAGCCATGCAATCGTCGTGGATAGCTTGGGGTAAATTCCGTTTTAGTCTGGTTAGTAAACGGAACTCGTAGCTCGTGAGAAAGCTGTGCTGACCGGGCCCAAGGTAGTCTCACAGTTACTGTTCATTCGAGATTTACCGGTCTACGCCTTTAGAATTAATGAGCTTTTGTATCCGAGGAGAGACAATATGTAAGACGCTTGGGTGCTCAAGAAACTGACTCTTCAATCTAAACTTCAAATCAACTAGTAGCCTACCCGCACACTTCTTTAACAACATATGGCATGTATTGTGTACGCCCATTATTCGAAACATCACTTCAAACATGTTTTACGTCAATACCTAACTTACGCTAAGATACGGCTTAATGCATAATTACTGGTAGTACAGAAAATTCCTGTGGTAACTAGAGTTCGAGGTTGGGCATTCGGACGATAATAGTGAATATCAGAAAAACTTAGTGAGACTTTATTGTATTAAACATTAAATATATTAGCCAAAATGAGAAATAAAAACTGTGACAGTGCTCATTTAGTATTGCATATAATCTGATAAGCTGATGAGGCGACAGATTCAATGAAAAAAAGCAAGATAGAAAGACTAAAAGCAAAGTTGACAAAAACTCGTTAGGAAGCAATACATTTGATAGAAGACCAACATTGTACTTAAAAAAGCATCTGTTTTCTTGGGAAACAGTTGCTTTTATCTGAAATTTAATAAAACAAAGAAATCAACCGAACCATCATAGTTAACTCTTAATACATACGATATATTGTGCATGACAGAGGAATTTGCAGGTATAATCTGTAATGAAGATTTATAACTGGCTTTTTAAGGAGCCATAGATAGATGTACAAATTTTGAGAGTGAAAATGTGGATGGGACTTTGAGGTTTCGATGGTCTAAAACAATGCTAACACGTAGCGCAAACACGCACATAAAAACACTCAATATAAAACTTTACTTGAGAATTACATCGTGATAAGTTTGCAGAAATAGAGAAATCAAGGAATATGCGTGCCGAATCAACAATATATGTAGTTCAGCAGTATAACAAGGTTTGGACATGAAGTAGGTCAGAATCATTTCTCGAAAAAAAGTAAGAATACCTGCTGAAATGGATTATTTACAATTACTGAAAAGCTAGTGATCTTGAGACACAAAACAATGAAATAATTATGATCTGCATGTCAGCGTAAACAAACAGAAAGAAGTAAAAGAAACCGGAGCACACAAAAATTGCCCCAGTTATCTCTAATTAACGATGAAAAAACCCGCTTGATTTGTAACAACCAAAAGAAGGAAGTTAGATTAAGAGAAATAGGAAAAGCATTATGCTGATAAGATAATATTTTCCTAAAAATGAAAGTAGACAATTGAAGATGAACAATACACGAGATTGTATGGTGGAGAGAATAGAAACGATCTGTGTCAAATTCAGGCAAGAGACGACAAAGAAGAGGCTATAAAAGGCACCAAATAAAGATTCCTAGAATCAACAATTGTCCAGTGTTTGGGTGCACGATATATCATGTTTAAGTGGAGCTTGTTGGAAAGACCGATGGAGAAACCATTTACAAAATAGAACATCGCCACAATGGACGTTTGATTCGCTTGCTGTTTATATTTCTAGTATCTTCTCTAGGTAGGTTATTATGGTCCTAAAGGTTAAACAAAAACAATAAATAAGATGTCAGTTTCGTAAAACCATGAAAAGAGTTAGTATTAAGGAGGAAGATTCGGTTTTACAATCTTAGATGAAGGGTCAGTCAAAACATACGAGTTTACAAACAAGACCATTAGGGGAATAAGCGTTGCCACGAGGAAGTACTGAACTATCAGTGCCTGGGGTCTCAAGATTTTTACTTTTGCCCGTGATTTGGTTCCTATATCTCATGAACACAACTATTCAGCTAACAATTGCAACTATACACGAATTTGTTTATTGTTATGTAGAGCACATAGTACTAGTGATGTAACCTACATATAGTGTTGTAAGTGGAGATAGAATTTAGGCCCGATTCAATCTTTCTTTGCATTAGTGCATAGTTTTCGATCATAGGTGTCTCCGAAGCATTGCTCCTTTATCTTGAGACTATCGAGTAAGCAGTGCTGTTGTTCGGAAACGGGTACTACGTAAGGATGGCAGATCATTAGATGAAGTGGTGAAACTTCATCAGTTGAGGTGGTTGAGACATGTGTTACCAATACCCAATCATCAACGACTGCCTCGTCGAGTCATATTTCGCGGTATCCTCATGACCGTTTTATCTTTCAATCAATATCCCTGGGGTATACATCTCGAAAGATAAATTCGATCATTAATCTTTTTGATCACTATGAATACTTCTACTATCTATACTGCTATGGGATTTGAATTGACAATTGCGTCTGTGCTAATGTGGTATGGCAACTTGAACTGATGTACGTACGTACGTACGAAGTTCTACGTTGTAACTGACTGAGTGACTGTATTAGTGCGGCAGCAGTTTGAGTCGATGTGGATTTGCCTCAGATCTTACATTTACTATAACTGATTAAAAACTTCAGTTATAAGAACCAAACTAAGCAACATAATTTGCAATTTTTCATCTGACATGAATTTAAACAATAACCTCAGGACGTGGCATGCTCACCATGATTTATGTACAGTTATGCTATTTGGAAATTCTTTAGCTCATATATAATGCAAACACTCATTAGTCTTTTACAGGTTGATGTACTGAGATAAATAGTCCGTTCTTTTAGTATCTAATTGTTGACATGTACCAAATACTAATATAGATACGGGGATATATCACACAAGCGCTTAACAAATTTATATTCAGATATAGCATATCATACAGAATAGAATAAAGGGAATTGCTCATATTTTAACTTACTACTTCCTGCTCAATCCTGGTTTTTATATTTCGAGTCAATGTCATAAACGCATCTTGGACATTAATATTCGTTTTAGCACTGGTCTCCATAAAAGGGATGCCATATGCATTGGCAAGCTGTAGAGAGAGGAAGAAGTTAAAGGAAAAACAGATTCATTCATATTCTTATATGATGACCGATAAAACTGAGTATAAGCCTCACTACAAGTAATTTGGTTTCCTGGAGGAAAGCAATGCAATGGGTAAAAATCCAAACAATTAAATAATACACCTACAGGAAACACTGTGTGATTGTTCGCGAAAAGTTATTTGATGATTTAAGTACATATAAATAGTTTCAAAGTGAAGTGTGATAGCGGAAAGCAACCATTAGTGTTAATCCTATGATATAGCTAATCGATCTCCCGACCGCGATTGCTACCTCAACGTGGTGGTCGGGCTTGCCTATCGTGATCGCCCAACCGAGCTATAATTGGCTGGAACATATGTTTCTGAAGGTTCTACCATGCCAGACAGGTCGTTTGGAGAACGGTAAGACTAGAAGCACCAACTCTAGGTCTGATGGAAAAGTCGTACTGCTTACTGTAGAGGAGCGTGACGAGAGTCAGGTGTTTCCTTCAGACAACCAGCATTTGCAGCGATGTTGCCTTCTCGAAAGGGAGTTAGAGCAGATCTACCCTAAAAATGTCACACCTCACGTTATCCCACAAACTTTTATCTCCAGCGCTAGGGCCTTTTGAAGAGCAGAGCTAACAATTTACAAACTGCCAATGAAACGGACGTGAGTGACCAGCCTTAAGCAGTTGTTCCTTGGGCTCGGCGTTCACGCGCTTAGGTCGCTGAAACCAATCCTAATCCATGAGGTAAGGAGGTGTGACATTTTTAGGGTAAACATTTTCTAACTCCTTTCCTTTCTTCCAAGAAGGCAACATCGCTACAGATGCTGGTTGTCTGAAGGAAACACCTGACTACAGTCACGCTGCTATACACTTAGCAGTAAGACTTTGCCCTCAGACCTATAATTGCTGCTTTTAGTCTTACCGTTCTACGACCGATCAGCATGGCACGGCAGGACCTAAAGCAACATATGATTCAGCCAATATAGTTCGGTAAGCGATTATTATGAAAACGACATAAGTATACATATATATATATATATATATATATATATATATATATATAGAAAAATGAATAATTTTACTAACCGCTTCGCCATCATCTTTTTTTACTTCTCTAAAATGATCGAAATCACATTTATTTCCAAGTAGCATTTTCGATACCTTCGGATTAGCATGCTAAAAAATAGAATGGCGTTTCATAGAACGTGAATACGACAAAAATCAACAGGCCTATATATAAAATAAGTTAAAGTATAGCTTACTAATCACATTTATAAGAGATAACTAACAAACGTAGCTGCTAAATAAGAAATCTTCACCACCTAAAAGCATTCAGACAGTTAGATAGTATCATTAGCCATGTCCTTGAGGGTCGTACGTACGTACACCAGTTCAAGTTGACATAGCACATTAGCACTAAGACAATTCAAATCCCATAGTGGTAGAGGTAGTAGAAGTATGAGCATCAATCGGAAAGATCACAGTCCGAAGACATGATTCAAAAAGTATAATCCTGCGAAATAGGTTTGAGACGAGAGAGATGAAGGTCATGAGGACAGCCGATGGTCAGGAATACGTAACACATGTCCCAACTACCTCAAATGACGAAGATTCACCACTTCGTCAATTGATTTTTCATCCTTACCTAGTACTCATTTACTAACAACTGTATTGCTTACTCGATAGTCCCAAGATAAAGGAGCAATGCTTCGAAGACACAGATGATCGAGTACTAGTAACCTATGAATATCCTCTATTCTTATCAGCCATGTTACACAGTCATAAAGTGAGACAGAGCGAACTTCTGTAGACCCGTCCTTTGGTTAGCAGACGTATATCTCGTATACGCCATAAATGACGCAAGTTGGCAAAAGCTAGTCAGGCCTTCTGTATCCGTGCCGAGCTTTCGTCAGTCACCAGGCCATCAGCACCCATGAGACTCCCGAGATTAGTGAAGCAGTCAACTCGCTCAACTATTTCAGGTGCTGATGCAAGCCAATCCTGAAGAAACATTTTGCACTTCAATGGAGAGAATCGCATCCCGAACATGCTTGCTTTATTGCTTAAAGTGGTCAGAAGACTGCATTTTGTCAACGTCTTTGCCGAGTAGAACTATGTCATCGGCATATTCTAAGTCAACAAGCGAACATCCTGGTAGAAGGTACATCCATGAAAAGTTAGGCGAAGATAATGTTATATCTGGAAGCAAGTCTATGACAAAATTGAACAAGAATAGAGAAAGTGGATAGTCCTGACAGACACCACTAGAAGTAATGAATTCTGATGACAGTTCGCCAAAACCTCTCACTCGACCAGTAGTGTTCGATTAGATAGCCTGTATAAGGTTAATGTACTTCTTTGGTACATCTTTCAATCACTGACACTGCCACAGAACCTCACGATCGAAAGAGTCAAATGCCGCTTTGACGTCGAGAAATACTTCTATTGTGGGACGCCTGAACGTGTGTCTATGTTCTAGGACCTGACCTAGTGTGAACATCTGGTCTATATAGCCACGTCCAGGTCTGGAACCAGTCCGCTCTCTACGAGCTCCAGTTAGGCATAGAAGTATTATTGAGGCTAATACTTTAGACACTATATTAGTCAATTTGATTCCGTTGTGATTGTCACAAGAGGACTTTTATCCTTCCTTACAGACTGGGGCAATCAGCGATTGAAACCAGTCGTATGGAATTACGCCCAGTTCCCAGATTCCACCTAACATTCCAGTCAATTCAACTGCCATCCATTTAACAACACACCTCAAGAAAATGTCTACTAAGAAAATGTCCTCTTACCACCTAAATTTTTATTTAATATGGATTGTTATATAAGTTGAAACAAATCTAGTGTTTTGCCCATCAATTCACTACAAAATTAGTAGATTAAAAAGTCAGTTCACTCTTTGGACAACTGAGTACTCCAGTGAATGGAAGCATTGGACTTTAGACATAAACAGTACAGGAGTACAATGGGTTATATGATTAAAATACATTGTTTTTAGACTACTATATTGCACTATAATACTAAATTACAACTAAAACAGTATCGCTTCAGAGTAAAACGTGAATGAGTGAGGAGGAAATAAGTGAATTTCTTTCTGGTTAGAATCTGAGGACAGTCATAGCACCACCTGCTTATAATGTTGGAAGAAAGGTAGACATTCACCTTGGTTTTAAGGAGCCTACTCTACCTCTTATCCCACGAATAGATTTTGTTGATCGGTTCAACTTTTTCACATTTCTGAGGCACCAAATCAAGGGCTAGAGCACTTTGTAAACGAGAATTTTCTCCTACAACCCGCATGAGGATATAAGGGAACTGACAGTTTGTTTCGGCCGTGGGGAGCTTAAATCCGAACTCTACATTTAAACTGAGTTTCTCTGATCAGGATGAGATCATAGATTAGCAATGGGGGTTGGAGGATGTTGCCTGACTTATACTAAGTGTTAGAACCTATGCAAATAGAATCTACCAATAGTTCCTAGCAGTGCGACGTGTACACAATACTTTTAAGGACTCACTTGACTGATATTATTCATCCATGTAGTGATATTGCTGAAAGAACGTCGATTAGTGATATCGTAAACCAGCATGATACCCTAAGACTTATTACTTCAACTTTGATCACAACATACCATTGCACCACGATAGTAAGCCGTCGTTATGGTTCGGAAACGTTCCTGACCAGCGGTGTCCCATATCTGCAACTTAATTCTCTTCCCTCCAAGTTCTATAGTACGGACTTTAAAGTCAATGCCTTAAAAGTTAAACGGAAACCACTACAAATTAATTACCTATAGTTGCTATAAAGGTGTGGTTGAACTGATTATCGGCAAACTGGAGAAGAAGGCTTGTTTTCCCAACAGCTGAATCACCAATAAGTAGAAGTTTGAACAAGTAGTCGTACTGCTTATCATCTGAGGATTTAGCCATTTTAGCCTAATCTAAATAACCCGCTGAACCAGCGAAAGGATAAACAAGTGGTGATCGTTATAATTATTTGCATATATAGACACTGATTAATAGTATACATTTTGATTTTTACAGGCACCTTTGAAATTAGTTTTAAGGACGTACTAAGAGGCGAGGGGGATTTTCAAAGTTTGGCCACATGGGTGATGGGCCTATTATTCACAAAATTTTGGAGGCTTTTCAACTCTCGAGACTATAAGGTCATAATTCTGGGGTTGGACAACGCTGGAAAATCTACTATTTTATACCAGTTTGTTCTGAAAGAAGCTGTACAGACTTCTCCTACCATTGGAAGCAATGTTGAGGAAGTTAAGTGGAAAAATCTTCATTTTGTAATGTGGGATATTGGTGGACAGACTTCCGTCAGGGGTTCCTGGACGACATACTTTGCAGGCTCAGACGTATTTTCTAGACATATGTTAACTGGATGTAGTTTGTCATTTTAGTGATTGACAGTACAGATCGAGAACGTCTATACCTGACAAAACAGGAGTTGTACAAACTACTAGTTGACGAAGTAAGTAAATTATGATGTCAAGCTTATTTTAGGAGTTGAAACGCTCAAAAATGCTGATTTTTGCTAATAAACAGGATGTTTCTGGCTGTATGTCTGTTGCTGAAATCAGTCACAATCTGAACCTTACGTCTATTAGGAATCACGCGTGGCATGTGCAGCCTTGTTGCGCACTCACAGGAGAAGGGTTCGTGTGTTTGTTTAGCTTTTCACGTCTTTTTTTTGTTCATATTAGCTGCCTACTTCATGTACATGTTTTAGTTTTGTTATGTTTAACTTGTCTTCCCTTACTTCATATAATTATGCCTTATCAATTGTCGAATTCACCTAGAAATCATTGCAAAATATTTGCTTGTCTCAAAGTTCTTGGTGTTGTAAAATTCATTTATTGTCTAACGGTACTGTTTTTGCAATCGTGTAAACAACTTGATACAGGTTACAATTTGTCTTTTCGTCAGCAACTATCAAACTGTTTGTTTCGGGGTCGAGAAAAGCACTCAACTAGTATGGTCGCAATTTCTCTACCTAGTTTATTGTATTCAATGGGAATTATATCAGTAAGTGTCATCTGCAACAGGGAAGTTTAGGTGTTAGATTCTGAACTACAATATAAAATGTCACTGTATAGTTTTGTTTCAACTTATATAACAATCCATATTAAATAAAAATTTAGGTGGTAAGAGGACATTTTCTTGAGGTGTGTTGTTAAATGGATGGCAGTTGAATTGACTGGAATGTTAGGTAGAATCTGGGAACTGGGCGTAATTCCATACGACTGGTTTCAATCGCTGATTGCCCCAGTCTGTAAGGAAGGATAAAAGTCCTCTTGTGACAATCACAACGGAATCAAATTGACTAATATAGTGTCTAAAGTATTAGCCTCAATAATACTTCTATGCCTAACTGGAGCTCGTAGAGAGCGGACTGGTTCCAGACCTGGACGTGGCTATATAGACCAGATGTTCACACTAGGTCAGGTCCTAGAACATAGACACACGTTCAGGCGTCCCACAATAGAAGTATTTCTCGACGTCAAAGCGGCATTTGACTCTTTCGATCGTGAGGTTCTGTGGCAGTGTCAGTGATTGAAAGATGTACCAAAGAAGTACATTAACCTTATACAGGCTATCTAATCGAACACTACTGGTCGAGTGAGAGGTTTTGGCGAACTGTCATCAGAATTCATTACTTCTAGTGGTGTCTGTCAGGACTATCCACTTTCTCTATTCTTGTTCAATTTTGTCATAGACTTGCTTCCAGATATAACATTATCTTCGCCTAACTTTTCATGGATGTACCTTCTACCAGGATGTTCGCTTGTTGACTTAGAATATGCCGATGACATAGTTCTACTCGGCAAAGACGTTGACAAAATGCAGTCTTCTGACCACTTTAAGCAATAAAGCAAGCATGTTCGGGATGCGATTCTCTCCATTGAAGTGCAAAATGTTTCTTCAGGATTGGCTTGCATCAGCACCTGAAATAGTTGAGCGAGTTGACTGCTTCACTAATCTCGGGAGTCTCATGGGTGCTGATGGCCTGGTGACTGACGAAAGCTCGGCACGGATACAGAAGGCCTGACTAGCTTTTGCCAACTTGCGTCATTTATGGCGTATACGAGATATACGTCTGCTAACCAAAGGACGGGTCTACAGAAGTTCGCTCTGTCTCACTTTATGACTGTGTAACATGGCTGATAAGAATAGAGGATATTCATAGGTTACTAGTACTCGATCATCTGTGTCTTCGAAGCATTGCTCCTTTATCTTGGGACTATCGAGTAAGCAATACAGTTGTTAGTAAATGAGTACTAGGTAAGGATGAAAAATCAATTGACGAAGTGGTGAATCTTCGTCATTTGAGGTAGTTGGGACATGTGTTACGTATTCCTGACCATCGGCTGTCCTCATGACCTTCATCTCTCTCGTCTCAAACCTATTTCGCAGGATTATACTTTTTGAATCATGTCTTCGGACTGTGATCTTTCCGATTGATGCTCATACTTCTACTACCTCTACCACTATGGGATTTGAATTGTCTTAGTGCTAATGTGCTATGTCAACTTGAACTGGTGTACGTACGTACGACCCTCAAGGACATGGCTAATGATACTATCTAACTGTCTGAATGCTTTTAGGTGGTAAACATTTCTAATATTTCCGTGAGCGTTGGAAAATTAGTGCCTCTAAGTGATTCAGCTAGTCATGTGGGCTTTTGCTTTATTTAGTCAATAATGTATGATTTATTTATACCTTAAGATTTCTTATAATAATCATTTTATCTCAATTAAGTAAAGTAAAAGACTACTCTATTTTGAAGTATTCCACTTTTCAATTGTTTTCCAGAGTAGCTTACAACCTACTCTTACTGCTTTTTACTTCAGAAAATACCCAGTTCAGTCCCATGTTATCTTCCTTTTCAAAACGTTTCCGCTTCGTCATAAGACAGTACAAGATATGGAAAGGGTTTTATCATGATTTGTCCATACTATATTGATAAATGTATTTCGATTCTTTGCAGAAGCACAGTCCGTCTCAATGAAGTTTTCGAAAATACTGACTTATGATAAATCTATGTTTCCTTCCATCCGACGGTCCGTTCCGTGATGCAATATAGCATTGCCAATGGTATTGTTCAGTTCTACTGCTATTCTATTGGTTAAGCGAACGGTCTTACTGTTGTTTACCGGACACCTTTGTTTCGTTGTACAGATGAAAGGGACTACAAGATTTTTCCAAACTCATTTAACTCGTGTAAATTGTTGGAGTAATTATGCAATGATTTTATCAGTTTGCAATAGTGTCCCGCAATCTGACTCAAATTTAGACGAACGAGTAAATTTTCCCTACACTTTTTGTAGATCATGCTTAGCTAACCCCATTTGTAAGAGGTGGTAATCAAAAGCAAAATATGAATTCAGTTGGACGAGTTTGTTTTATACAATCGTTCATGCAGACAGACAGAATAAAATAACTTGAGTGCAAAGCGAATCTTAGTGGAGAAGTTGAATGAGACAACTCGGTGTTACTAAGTATTTATTGTCTGACAAAAATAAACTAGACATGTTTTAAGCGAAGCAAGCAGTGCATACATTCACTCAAGAAAAGACAACCAAGCAAGATATAAGCGAATAATTGACAAAGTCAAAAGATGCGTGATTAGTAATTCGGACAGAAAAGGTTTATTAGTTTCTCCAAAGCTAGGGCGAACCATATGGGCTCAACATATTAGTACACATACTATAAACCCATCATTAAAACTCTATGTATATGCAGATATTTTGCTAGAGGACATCTTTGTCAAGTGAAATTCATTGATTGCTTTAGTTCAGTATTACTGTGTATTTTTATTTTTGGCTGTAAGATATTTTTAATATTAATACTATCTGTTTTTAGTCTTCCTCAAGGTTTGGATTGGATTGCTACTCAAATTGAACGATAACACTGAAAGTTTTTTCATCTTTATCTTCATTTCCAATATACATGTCCTTAATTATGATATTCATTGGTAATCATAGCCAAGCAAGCAATATTCCAGCTACATTTATCGCAGTTCTTGGTGTTTTTTTTTCTAGAGAAGACACTATCGGGAATCTTGTTACTTTTGATCTTTCTAAATTTTCTCTGTCAACTTTGATTATTATTATTATTATCGGAAATTGTCTGCAAATTGTTTTAGTGTCCTACAGTCTTTCCTGTAGTATCACTATACCACTTGTACAAAATGTGTTATATGTATATTTATTTTCATTTAGCTTTATGCTATAATATATATATAGGCAGAAGAATTTTTTTAAAATGGTTGTCAATAGGATTGATTCATTTTTTTTGATTCTGTTTTTTTTTAATCTGCGGTTTATTCTTGATCTATGTATGTATGTATGCTAAAGTACTTCTTGCATTATATTCCAGACTAATTGATTTCTTTTTACATTGACAGTGTAATATTTCTGACTTCTATATATATATATTTATATTTTTTCAATCGTATATAGGCAATCGATCAGCTCATATTTAAAAACTCATATGTTTTACACATAGGGTATTTTTAATTGAACAACTATGTGCACCGTGTATATATATATAATTACGTTTCTGCTTGCATAGTTCTTTAATCTGTTTGATATTCCCCATTCATAATGTTGAAATCCAGTGTGTAAATTAAGTGTTATGGAATACAATCATTAAAATATAATTAATCCTCACCTGTCATTTGTTACTTTGAGTATAATGCATTTAATGTGTGCACAGTGTTTTTTTTTCTCTTTGTTACAATTGCTCCTGTTAAAGTTGATCTCGTTTATTAAGGTAATGAAAATAAACAATGGGAAAAAAATAGAACGATTGTGTAGATTGTCTACATTTTATAAAACTATAAAGTAACAAAATGGTAAAATACCTTCGTATAATCCTACACTTGTAGATGATTGATTCACAAATGTAGTTTTGAATTAAGATAGAATAAAGTACTTTTTTTAATTCTAAAATTCAACAAAGTAGTTGCCATTATGAAATTGGTTAAGTCAGTCAGTCAGTCAGATGCAACGTAGAACTTTGTACATAAGTACATCAGTTCATGTTGCCATACCACATCAGCACAGAGAAGTAATCGTCAATTCAAATCCAATAGTAGAAGAGGTAGTAAGGGAATTAGAAGTAATCGGAGAGGTTAGGATTAGAAGATACTATTCAAGAAGTATGATTCAGTGAGATAAGTTTAGAGAGTCGAAACTAGAGGTGTTGAAGAATCCAGAAGATTAGGATTTGAGAGAACACAAAGAATAAATGCACCGGCGCCATTGCAAACGATTTTGAGCCATGTCATTCAAGGTCTCTAACCATCGATTATTATCATCTCGCGGACCCCAACCAGGTAGTCGACAATGATGCGCTACTCAGCCTGTAATATAAAGTGTTTGCGGATATTGAAATTATCACACTTTTTGTCAACAAGTCATACGGATAAACCGAAAGTCTATAGTTTTACTTCAAATATGGTTAAGTAAACATTGTTAAAAAGAAAATCAATTCAAAATTTCGCTAGACAACAACTATTCAGACAATATTTTGTGATTAGCGGTGGTCGTCATGCTTTGAGAATCATAAACTTTCTGAGAGTGGACTTATCGGAAAACAAATTAGTTATTGTTTTTCTACAGATCTATGATATAAGCAACCATCTCAGATCTACATTTGTCAAACCATATTGTAAACTTGTTAATTAATCTGTTGTAATTTTTTTATAGGTATAATAGTTTTTCCGTCAGTGTTTTGTATATAAAACTCACTTGATATTATATAAATATCCTATAATATAAACATAGAGAAATAGGATAGTGCGTTCAGCGATGTAAACTGTTCTCACTAATGTATCATAATCCATCTTATTCGTAAATATGTTAGCGCAAAGAAAATTCAATTATCTTCAATCCCTGTCATTGGATGATTCATCACCTTGTTCATTCAAAATTTTAGCTTCTATTTTCAGAGTAAAATAAATAATTATATATTAGAGAGTTATTTTGTTCTTATTAACGATTACGTTCATGCTTAAATCGGAAAGCTAGTGTTAAATACTTGATTTAGTCATATTATTTAATGAGTAATATGTTGAAGGTAGTTCATTTGTGTATATGAACTAAGTATTACCTATGGATTTTGTTTATGTATTCAACTGCTCCCAAATGTCCTGCTACAGCTGAGAGTGAGAAGAGTCCTCTCTCACTCTCAAAGTGCCTTTCGAAGAAAATGAGCGGGTATCCTATGCTTAAACAGAGTTGGTGAGTACAGAAGACCTACCTGGGGCGGGAGATGAAAAACCCTGGTACCAAACTAATGGTGCATATAGGCTCCAATATCCTGAGGACACAGATGGCACATGAACCTATTTTCGGCTATCAGTTACCATGAGGACCCACCCCTTTATTTGTCAAAACAGTAGGTTAAAGGTTCGTAGGGTAGCAGAATGTTACTTAAGGATTGACTTGCATCGGCGCCTGAACTAGTGACGGAGTGAAGTAGTCGAGCGTGTAGACCGCCCCACTTTTCTGAGGAGTCTCATCAGTGCTGATGGCCTGGTGACTGACGAAATCTCAGCACAGATACAGATGGCTCGATTGGCTTTTGCCAACTTGCGTCACCTATGGTTCAGGCGAGATATCCGTTTGCTAACCAAAGGACGAGTGTACTGCTCAGTAGTTCGCTCCGTCCTACTATATGGATGCAAAACATGGCCAGTAAGAGTTGAAGATATTCGTAGGTCACTGGTATTATATCATAGATGTCTTCGAAGCATTGCTCGCGTATCCTGGGACAACCGAGTAAGCGATGCTGTCGTTAGGAAACGGGTACTGGGTAGGGATAGAAAATTAATAGATGAAATATTGAAACTTTGTCAGTTGAGGTGGTTAGGACATGTGTTACCTATGCCTAACCACCGAATGCCTTGACGAGCGGTGTTTTGTAGTGTAGGAGTAGGTTGGAAAAAATCTAGGGGTGACCAAACCAAAACATGGCAGAAATCCATGAAGTCACTGACAAATGGACTGAATCATGTGTCGACTACCTGGTTGGTGTCCGCGAGACGATAGTAACCGATGGTTAGAGACCTTGAACTATATGGCTCAAAATCGTTTGCAATGGCGCAGATGTATACACTCTTTGTGTTCTCTTGAATTCTAGTCTTCTGAATTTCTCATCGCCTCTATCTTTCTCTTTTTAAATTTATCATACTGAATTATACTTCTTCGAATACTAATACTAATACCATAACCGCTAATACTTCTACTATCTCTACCACTATGGCATTTGAACTGACAGTTGCGTCTCTGTGTTAATGTGGTATAGTAACCTGAACTCATGTACGAAGTTCTACGTTGTATCTGACTGACTGACGTAGGGCGCCCCCCTAAAAATACTACGTGTTTTGGTTTGCACACATGGACAGTATTCCAGCTGACTCACAAATTCATTAATTTGTGTGGCTCATATATATTTAACTGCCCCTTTGTACCAATAATTGTGTTTGAATACAATGCAAAACGTAAATAACCGTTGAGTTTGGGGAATTCTAATATCTCTGCGCAGCAATATGGTTGCAATGGGATATATTTAATAAAAGGAAATATGACGTGAATATTAGTTTCGTTTTAGTAGTTCCATTCCTTGTCAATGAAACAATAAATGATTTAGTATTTCCTTAGAATTCGGGCTAGTTTCCCAAATGTTATTCGTGTTGTATGTTCTGTGGTGCACGCAGGTAGCTTCTCATAGTGTCTTTGAATCAAGTCGCTTGGTTTCGATAATTCCTCCTAAAGGTGACCGTACCGTAGAGTTAACAGCTTATCGGGCCTCATAACATCTATTAGATCCACATTACTCAGCATGTATCTGTTTCACTTGACTAGAACCTGTAATAGCGAATTAAAGACCGAAAGCTTAATCATTTTATCTCACTATGCGTCTAGTCGCGTGAAACAGAAGAATCCATTCTTGTGGAAGTGTCTAATTTTAATGAGTAAGATATGTAATCAGGTTTAATGACCAAGTGTAAAATTCAAGCCTATCGTTATAACTGTTTCGCAATTGCTTTTCAAGATTTCTTAGAATTAATCCCATCTTTCTCGTATGCGGTAGAGAATTGTTTCCGTTTAGAGCGATGTCTAGTAACTAAACTCGTCCGCGATTGATAAGTCGCGATGTTTCTGAAGTGGGATTTCCTTCTTCAATGGATTAATCGGTAATAATTAGTTGGGAGTTTGATAACATAACAGCGGGTTTGCTGCTAGCAGCCAGTATAAATGGGAACGGCTTCCTTAACTAATCAATTGGAGCTTCTGCTTCAAACACGTTTCGCCCACTTATTAACGGTTTCTTTTATCCTTGACGAGGTTTTACGCACCGGGTACTAGTGTGCACTGCTACACACTAAGCAAAATAACTTTCCCTTATTCTGCGGTGTTGAATTATTCATTAAATGTTCTTCTCAATACCATATTATAGTAATCTACTATTGGTGAATGGATAGAAATATCTAAATGCATATTTAATTATCATGGCAAAAGGGTAATCTTAGATTTCATGTTACTTAAAATATTTCAATTTTATTAGGATATCAAACGGTTGAAAGATTTTATGCACACATGCAAATGTATTACATCACAGCTACTAGATTTTCAAAGTAGTCTATACTAGGTTGCATAAGAAAATAAGATTCAAGTTTCCACATGTACCTGTTGAGAAAGTGAATAACCAAATAAATACATATTTCTGGTTTCATTTTGTTAATCAGTACTTTGTAATTGACAAAGAGAGAAACTGAATTTAATTTACTGTGTATTTAGAAATAAACTAATTTATGGATTACACTGCCAAATCGTGTGTGGAGGACAGCTCACAGACCAGTTTGAAGTAAAGATCGGTGTCACGCTAGGTTGTTTACTATCACCCTTCCTCTTTCTCCTGCTGATCGACTGCATTATGAGGACGTCAACATCTGCAGGGAAGCACGGGATACAGTGGACAACTAGGACGCAGCTGGACGATCTGGACTTTTCAGATGATCTGACTTGTCTATCGCACACGCAACAACAAAAGCAGCAGAAATCGGTCAGTGTAGCGAAAGTCTCTGCAACAGTAGTTCTCAACATACACAAATTGAAAAGCAAGATTCTCCGATACAACACTACATGAGTCAAACAAATCACACTTGACTGTGAAACTTCGGAAGATGTAAAAAGCTTTACATATCTGAGCAGCGAAGTTTTTGAACACGGTGGATCTGATGCAGATGTGAAGACGCAGGTCGGCAAAGCAATGACAGCATTCCTACAATTGAAGAACGTTTAGTACTCAAAACAACTATCAACCAACACTCAAATCAGAATTTCCAATAAAAATGTCAAGACAGCTCTACAATATGGAGAGGAAACATGGAGAACTGTCAGAACCATCATGTAGAAGATACAAGTATTTAATAATAGTTTTCTACACAAAATACTTCAGATCTGTTGTCCAAACACCATCATGAACAACCTACTGTGTGAGAGAACGAACCAGATTGCAGATGAGGAAGAAATCAGAAAGAAACACTGGTAGTGGATAGGACACACATTGAGGAAAACAACTAACTGCGTCGCAAGACATGCCCTCACCTGAAATCATCAAGGCCAAAATAAAAGAGGAAGATCAAAGAACACTTACGCAGAGTATTCGCGACAGACATGAGAAGAATGAATAACTATTGGACAGAACTAGAAAGGAAGGTTAATGATAGAGTAGGTTGATGAATGCTGGTCAGCAGCCTATGCTGTACTCGGGGATAGCAAGCGTAAGTAA